TTTTTTTAACAAAAAAAAAAAAAAAAATGCTTCTGGCGGAGCATGAGGTATGGACCTGTAATCCCAGCACTTGGGAGGCTGAGACAGGAGGATTGCCTCGAGACCACATACTGAGTTCAAGGCCAGCCTGAACTACAAAGTGAGACCCTGCCATTCCTGAAGGAATTTGGGGTTTCCTCTGAGGAAACTTGGAGTATGTACAAGAAGACTAGCAACTGGGATAAAAACATCTTTCTGCTTGGCCTAAAAGGCTTCATTTTCATATATGGTATTATCCAAGCCTTGTACTTTCTGTTGAAATAAGTTTCCGGGAACAGGGCCGGTGCCCTAGGGTGGACCATGTAATGATGTCCGTGTTTCTGAGTTGCCCCGTATCCCCGGGGCTCATAGAAAGGGAGGACCTGTGAGTGTCCTGCCTGGGAAGGACAGAGGGTGGGATAAAGTCAGGGATTTCAGATGTGTTTAACCTCCTCGCTGGGCGCGGGTGGGTGGGATTTGGGGGTGAGACAGAGTGCGCAGGCGCGTCCTGGGGTGTGTGCGAGGGGTCGGAAGAGCTAGGGCAGGCACCTCGCGGACGTCCTGGGGAATCGGGAGCCCCGATGCCCTCCTTTGCGGGTGAGGAGGGTTTGTGTAACTCAGGCTGACTGTTGAGAACGCACTGCGTTTCTGACTAGTGTTTTTAGCTGGTCACTTTCCACCCCCACGTTAGTCTGATTACAGTTAACTTTTCCAGGATGGAGCTATTGATACAGGATGTTTCATCTCTGAAACATCAGGACACATTCCATCAGATGAGCAGGCAGCTTTCTGTTTTTGTTGATTTTGCAAGAAAAATATTTAATTCAAACCCAGAACACTATAGGCGGCCTTTCCAGTCCATGGAATCAGGTCTCGGTGTCTACCTTTGAACTCACTTTTTTCTCCCTGCTCGTTCTTTAAGAGTGGTGATATACTTTAGGGACCGGGGTTCTGCAGAATCTTCCCCTCTATCCTGCCACTTCCCTTCTGCACCCTAGAAATTAGCACATTTGCGGGGTCTTCCTTCTCGGTGTCTGGCACCTCGGCCTGTCAGCTTTCCTTGTTCCCTGCCCTTTAGGAGGTAGCGTTAATTTTGAGCCTGGATCTGGAGCAGTAACACTTGTTCTTCTACTTCTGTTCTTTCATCATTTTGGTCTAGCCTTGAATGCCATCCGGTAGACCCATATGATCTTAAAACAATTCTGCCCTGTCTCCTCGTTTCCCTTTGTTAGCAGTGCTTGTTTAAACATCAAAGCTTGTTACGGTCTCAGCGTGACTCCTAGGCCTTGCTTCTATTCTCTTACAAGATCACTTATAGTCTAATAAAAAAAATGCCTTCCACTTTGTATTCCTACTTCTGAACTCTCACCGTTTAGTTTTTACCCCATCTTTGCCTCCTGATTCCTCTTTAAAACACATTTCAGCCCTTATAACTTACTGCCTATGTAATCTGGACACTTCTACAATACAGATCAGATCCCTTAATACGGCATTTTCTCCTTCTTTATCCAGAATAGAAGTGTTTTGAGAGAAGGTGGACCTGTCCTTACAGCTTTGGTGTCCCTCATGGCTTCAGTTTAGCGGCACGAACTTAACAAATGTTGGCTGATAAGAAGTTATAGTCTTGTGAATTTTTACCATTCGGTTCCTATTTCTCGCTGGTTTGACCAAGGCATTTGATCAATTCAGTTCAACAAAGGCGATTCCCAGGATGTGTGGATTCCATCTCTGAGGCCCAGGCGGGTCACTGAAGTTGCCGGGCCTCCTTTTCCTCCTTCATGGACACCAGACCTTGCAGGATGGCTGCCAGAGAAGTGACCTGCTTTGGAGGACTGAAATTGTGTCGCTTACCGTCCACATAGTGAAGATACCATGTGTCCTCAGAGTAAAGGGAGACAAGCCTGTGGCTGTCATAAAGAATCGGGGTTCTAGGCCAGCCGCAGTGGGTGTGCCTACAGCCCCAGCTGCTCAGGAGGTTGAAGCAGAATTGTCTGAGTCCAGCCAGAGTGATTTATAAACAAACAGATATTTAGGTCCCCTGAGCTTGGAGTTCTTGGCAGTGGTGCAGTGCCCCAGCATGTACAGTGCCTATCTGAGCCCGCTGGGCCTCCCTGGGGACTTGGGAGGCAAAGGGACCCCATAACGAAGTGCTTCCGCTGTCATAGGAATAAGGTCCTTTGTCTCTGGTTCTTCTGCAAGGGTGTGAAGACTGCAAAGGATCTTGGTTAGTTCGCAAGTAGGGTAAAATCTCAGGCCCCGGGAGTCATATTAAACACGGTATAGATCCACTACATGGCCATAATGGTTACTTTGTGAGTGCTTATCCACGATCGCTGAGGCATTGTAGGAGGGGATTAGCCGCCATTCTGAGGCTACAGTCAGATCCCCAAGAAGACACCATCATCCAGGATGCTGAGAGCATCACATCTGGTGATGTAGAGGGAGCTGAGTGGATTTGCCAGAAAGTGTATTTGTGAGGTAGACTGACACTGTTAAGCTGTGAATTTCATAGGAAGGAAGACAAAGGAGTGCTCCAAGATTTATGGTTTGGGAGACAAATAGTAACTATCTGAACCCATTCGGTGCTGCTCGAACAAGATGCCACAGGCAGGGGTGATTTACTGAGAAGAGAAATTATTTCTTAGAGATGAAGCTAGAGAGGCTACGATCAAGGGTCTGACATCGTCCAAGGGCCTTCGTGCTGTGTCATCCTGCAGAAGAAGGGCAGAAGGCAGCACATTCCCTTCATCCAGCACCCGAAGCCTCAGCACCTTGCACACCGTCACCATGGGGACTAAGTTTCAGCACAAGTTGGGGAGAAAATGTTCAAGCCACAGCAGCAGCCATCAGACGAGATTCGTGGGGAGAAGGTGACGTGGTGGAGGGACGGGGGCTGTCCAGGTAAAATGCACAGGCAGTCGGGTGAGACGTCGTGGTCTCGGGACACTGACCACGGAGGAGAAGGTTGAGGGCTTCACAAAATACAGGGGGCCATTTATCTGGGGATGCAGCAGAGGATGAAAAATAACAAATAATGAAGAGTAAAGAACGAACAAGCGTTTATTACTTGGGGCACCAGGATTTGATCTTAGCTCTTCGTGGCTGTGACCACCATCTCTGGACTAGTTGGTATTTATTGTTTGCACAGCGTAGCCGAGGGTATAAACTAATGTGCATTCTTTGCAAGGACAGGTCATGTTGACAAGCCACCCGTGTTGTCTTGCCGGTCGTAGTTAAGGCACCTGCGTTGTCGTTAGCTAACGTTTGATCTGGGAGAACAGCTGCCCGAGGGTGGTGAATGCTCCGCGGTAGTGGTTTCTTGTCATAGAGACGTCACGTGCCCATTGGTCATTGAGATCTCAGTTATGGCCACTGACATAGGGAATTCTGTATGCTGGCTGAAGGCTCATTTGGTGACACACGTGTAGGCCATGGATTGATGTACAATTCAATAAATAGCGAATTTATAAATAAGCCAGTTCACCCTGTATTTTATACCATGCCCAATGCAGTTTCAGGCTGGTCTCCTGCAGCCATGAGCCCATGGATAGTGCTGGGGTTTTCAGCACCCTCATGGCGTCCTAAAAATACTCTATTTTGATTGCCAGTGGAGCTGATTTCTACCCCGCCGGCACCCCTGTGGAACAAGAACAGACGCATCAAGCCTCCCACAGAGGCTGACAGCTGAGGGTGCCGTCAGGCTTTCCCTGACTTCCCAGGTGCCGGGTTTGAAGCTCCACTTTGAGAAATGAGCTTCTTTGCTAAAAACAGGTCTGAGGAGAGAGTGAAGAGAAAATGTTAAAGCTGACCCTTCAGAGGCAAGAGAAGGTGTTTCGTGCTTCCTGGGAATAGGTAAGAGGGAGCAGCTCACAGTACTAGATCTGTGACCTTTAGGCCCTGTTTCTGCCTCTGTATAGCTCAGTGGCCAGGCGCAAGCCTCTGCTTCACCAGAGCGGCCGTCCTGGTGTTGTCACTTTGAAGGTTCAAGTGGGCCTTGTTTCGACGCTGGGTCCACCACGTCCTATGACCTTGGGGCAGTGGCTTTTTCATCTTGCTCCTTTCTTATAGAAATTAGATGACCATAATTATACCAATGGGATATTGAGAGGCTTGGAGATGATATACATGTCTGTTTCTTCAGCTGATACCTGGGGGTTCAACCTTGGGATCCCGAATCTCTGTCTGGCCTGGATTCCACATCCTGAGATGGATCATGTGATTTGCAGTTCTTTCTGTGCCCAGTGTTTTGTTTTGTTTTTTTAAGAACTTTTCTCGGCAGACCTGTTGCAGACTGTAGGAATTCTTCCTCTGGTAATAACTCCAGTGTTCTCCTTTTCTCTTTGCAGTTTTTCCACTACTCCCAAGGGCAAGTGTACCTTGGGAATTACCCACCATTTAAGGACAGAATCAGCTGGGCTGGGGACCTGGACAAGAAAGATGCATCAATCAACATAGAGAATATGCAGTCTATACACAACGGCACCTACATCTGTGATGTCAAAAACCCTCCCGACATTGTGGTCTGGCCTGGACACATCAGGCTCTATGTGGTGGGCAAAGGTACTTCCTTGCAGTCATTCAGCAGTAACCCGCAGTCCCCCTCTGAGTGACATGTCCGGGTGTGTTTGGAGGGAGGCCCTCACCATGCACCTGTGCTCCCTGTTTCTGTGGACCCGTGGGTCTCCCAGACATACCGGGGGGGGGGGCTGCTGCTGAGTTAGCAGAGGGGCCTGATACTTGGCTTCAGGAGGATCCATTTTCCACAGGTAATTACAAGTAATAGTAAGTTCATTGTGGTTAAGTGCAGCGGGCAGTAGGAAGAAGGGGATTGATAATGTGTTGATAATCGCTGGAAAAAACTTTGACATCTCACGGCACTGCTCTTCCTTCCCTTTTGTGAAGAATAAGCAGGAACTGCAGGTTCTGGTGTCTCCTTTTGATACAAAGTCTGCTCTCTGTTGGAGAGAGAGGAATGCACACCTCCAGTTTTTCTTTTTTTTTTTTTTGGGTATCAGAGATCGAACTCGGGACCCTGAGCTTGCCAGGCAGGCGGTGGAACCACTGAGCTAAATTCCCAGCCCTCCAGTTTTGCTTTGATTTTAAAACACTGAGAGAGGGACTGTGGGTATAGAAACACCCGGTTCTGCGTTTCATCCTCTTCCAGTTAATAGTCATGCATTGTCAATTAGGTGCGAGTATTGTAGCTTAGGTGGTGAGAGAGGATAAATGAAATAACCGCTGATGAAAGGCTTGCTCGCTAACAGTAAGATTCTGTTTCTCCCCTTTGCAGCAGGGAGCCTCATTTCTGCTTTGTTCTTTCTGTCTAGATCATCTGCCCATGGTGGTGGGTATAGTGTCTGCGGTGGTCCTAGGCATCATTCTGTTCGTCAGCGTGATCCTGGCCGTGCTCTATCGACGGAAAAACGCTAAACAGGATTACGCTGGGTAAGCAGCGCCCTTCTGTAGGGGAAGGGGAGGGGAGGACATCAGCTTTATGGAAAAAGGATGGTGAAGAATGGTGTACTGTCAGCTTTCCTGTCAGAGCCAGCAGGCTCCCCCAGAGGCGAGCAGAAGTCGGCGGCCTGCTGTTCAGGGTAGAATATGATTCTAGTCCCCGGTCTACAGTTTGCTTCTTAGGTTTGGGTGAAACAAACTGCTCAGCAGTCTGGCCTCTCTGTTTCAGCACCATGCACCCTGCAGTTAGTATTCCTGAGCCACAGGCATCACTTACCCATTTAAAGAGTTTTTTAATGTCTTGCAAATGATCTAATAAAGTTCTTCATTGCAGTTGGGTAAACATGAAACCCTCCTGAAGAAGGTAAGCTGGTAAAACTCCCATGCAGCCCACTGAGTTGGTGCAGGGCTTTTCCTTTTTGTAGTTCCCCTGCCCCAAACCTGAGCAGTTGTATTGCTTTGATCATTGTTGGCTGGATTCACCCGAATCGAGATAGTAAGACTTAACACCATATACCAGCAATAAAGAAAAGTGGACTTTCTTTTTGCTTGTTGCATCTCAGAAGGTACATCTTGGAGCCCAGGGTGTGTGTCTGATTACAGGTCCTTCTCTTCTCCCACTCCAGCTGGAAAGCTAACCCATATGAGCGTTATAGAGTGCCTGGTAAGCCTGGGACGGGTGTGCAGTCCTCCCACCCTGTGACTGTCCCAGAGGTACTGTGAGTGGAGAGGACAGCATGCCCCGGTCTCCTGCTGTGGACGGTGGGAACCTCTAACTCGGGGCCCTGCCGACAGGGTACTGAGGTGTGTGGTGGTTAAAGAAGTCTGAGTGTTCAAGTCCAGATAGTGCTTGCTTGGAATGCCTCTGTTCTGCTGATTGTGTTGCTTCCTGCGTGGTGAGAGTCCCACGGTTAAACGCAGCCGGATGTTGGTTTTCCACGTGGCACTAATTCAGGGCAGCGACATGCCAGTCTGCAGTGCTTGCTGCCGGGTTAATGGAGGGGCAGGGAAGTGTCCCTTGGAGTCCTGCATGGCATCACCAGTGCTGCTCTTCTTACTTTGCACCCCCGCCCCCGCCGCTCTTTTTCCTTGCTCTGCTGGCATCAGGTCCTTCTTACCTGCCACTTCTTAAGAAAAGCTGACGTAGAAGACATTGGCACTGTAACAGGGCCGGGTCTCCTCTTCCACCCCCAGTAGACATGTGGTAACTAATCGGATCACCCGTTGCTGCGCTGTTAATATTCATGTTTGTATCGGCCGTTCCCCTTGTGGACAACTAACCAGCTAGCCCTGCTCTAACCCAGGAGGTAGTATGGTGTGTCCGCAGGTGTGTCTTGTCATCGCCCCGGAAGCACGTTGAATAGAGTATCCGGGTGAAACTGTTCGTCTGCATATACACGTTCTTCACGGAAAGTGCCGTTGTGTGTGCGTGCATGTGTGCGTTTCTTTTCTTCACACATGAACTTTATTGTCGGTGACCGCAGCCCTCCTAGTGTTAGACTCATCGAGCCCTTTGGGCTCAGGGCCTGTAGCCTCCCACCTAAGAAAGTGGTCGAAGAACCACCTGTGTGCTTGGGTCTCGGTAATGACACTTTGGGTGTGATCCTGCCAAACTCTTAAGCCATCACACGAAGGGCTTTGAGCTGCCGTGATGACGCATTTCAGTAGGAAGTCCCCATGACTTATCACTGAGAGCACTGTCTGCCCAAGGTTCCCTCTTCCCCAAAGCAGTTCATTTCTGTAGTTTCACTGTTTATTACTTCCTGGATGGTTTGTTTTGGAATTCTGTTTCTTTTTTGTTTGGGAGTGTTCTGTTGTGTTATTGTGGGAAACCAAATGCAGGGAACTAGAGAATAGGGAAAACGATACAGGCCAGACTATAATAAGCCTGCCTGTATGCCTGCAACTTTTAAAATACATTCAGAAGAGATTCACCTTCAATGATCATAAAGACAAATTGCCATTAAAAAGATGAACGAACGAGTGTCAGGGATTAAAAACATAGTTTTAAGATCCGTGATTGTTGTGATACCGTGGTTTTGTTGTCTTCTGTTTTTATACATCGGCTGTTTCATCTTACCATCACTTGCATTTCTGTCCTTTTGTTTCCATTTATTTTCATTTTTAAATTTCTTTCTGCTTTTTTTACGTTTGTTCTCCAAATTGCCAGTCCCATCACCTGCAGTGCATCAGAGAGTTTGTCACCCAGTAAGGAGGCTCCACAGACGTCCCGCTCCGACACAGAGGGTCTAGTAAAGAGTCCTCCTTCCGGATCGCACCAGGTAACAGCTGATGGCAGTTCTGTCCTCCGCCCTGGCTTTGCAGCTTGGTGCCTGGTGCCTGGTCGCTGTCTGAGTGCAAGAAAGAGTGCGAGCTATGAAAGACAGACGGACAGATGGACAGACAGACAAAAGAGACAGAGAGAGAGAGGGAAAGTAGGGCAATTAAAGGTCTGGTCTTAGAAGACCACAAAAAAATGTGTGGAGAAGACTCTGACCTGAGTACTTTTTTCCAGCAATATGGTTCCTTTGGCCTGAGTAGAATTAGGAAATGGCTCTGACAGCTGTAAAAAGTTCTTTAATTGCCTGCAGAAATAAAAGCTAACGGACTGTATTCTCTACTGAAGTCCTCTGTGAGAAATTCACAGAAAAAGTTAATATTCTTCATATTAGTAAACACACACACACACACACACATATTTAATGATCCTTTACAATTGAAAGTATCTGAATAGTTACAAGGCTTGATGAACAGGGAGTGGTTTTGGTCTCTACTACAGAGAAGTCGCTTGTTTGGTGTCTGGCATTGTGCTCCTGCTGTGCTTTGGCTGTGCCGTTGTAACTGTAGCGGTGGCAGGGGAGATGATTCCTAAGTGAAGTCAGTCAGTGTGGTTCTTCTGGGTCCGAAGGCTTTCTCAGGAATTCTGCCAGTTACACTTTGCCCTGAGGAGGTGCTGTGGGCGGAATGGATTTAGCAGGAGGCAGATTTTGCAAATACGTCCTGTAGTCTGATTCCATAGTTATCTCGTGGTGAGGAAAGTCGTGTCAGTGAGGAGACTCAGGCGTGGCTACAGCAGATAAGGAAAACCACACAAGTGAGTAACAGATGGGGACCAGTCCCAGGTTCCTAGACAGCAAGTTCTTTGCTACAGCTTCAAGCTCCCGCCTTGTTTGTTCTCTCCCTCTGTGTGTCTCTGTCTTTATCTCCGTCTCTCCCCTTAGCATACCTCAGGCACACCAGTTTGCTACTCAGAACTGTGAGTAGGGTTGTAATGAAGCCAGGAGAGTTCAGTAGCATAGTAGCAACTAAAGAAGCTTTAGAAAAGTCAGTTCTGCCCTTGAAGTTCTCCTGGCGTTGCTGTCATGCTGAAAACAAACTAGTAAAAAGAGGAAGGAGGGAAGGTTTGTTTCCAAGATGCTGGGAAATGTGTTCTATGGCATTGTGATCCTTGAGGGAAAGGAATCAAAGAGTACGAGCCCTGTGATCGTCCCAGCTCCCTGTCTGAGGCCTTCCCACCTGCATTGCAGGGAGGGAAATGGAAAACAGAGCCCAGCATTCTCAACGGGTGTGGGCAATTATTGACTTAGCAAGACTGTCTCCATTTTTACATTTTTTTTTAAAGGGAGCTGGGGATGTAGCTCAGTGCAGAGGCCCTGGGTTCAGTGCGCCATACAAGGAGGGGCGGGAGACAGGGAGGGAAGAGAGTGCATTTATTACTATAGTGAAGTCGTACAATTAAACGCAGCTGAGCCAGTGATTGCATTGTCAGAACACTCCAGTTCAAAGAGGGGGCCGGGGATCTAGTTCAGTGGTTCTGCCACCTGCCTCGCAAGAGCAAGGACCCAAGCTCCACGCCCGGTACAAAAAAAACAAACAAAAAAGAGGGGCTGGGAATGGTAGTTCAGTGGCAGAGTGCGACACCTGGAGTCCAGTTCCCAGCACCAGAAAATAAGTGAATAAAACTGAGATGGTCAGATTGGATAGAAATACTCTTTGTCTCAGTTATTTTCCAAGTCACATGTGCATCTCTTTCTTCAGACTTAAATTATTATTAAAGCCATTTTCTGGGGCAACATGGTGAGACCCTGTCTCAAAAAAGAAAACAAGAGTCGAAAAACCAACTATTTCCTGCCTTGCCTGTTTCTGGAACTTGTAAATTCTTTGTCAGTTGCTACACGTCTTTGAGTGGACCGTATGATTTCCAGCAGACCTGCCGAGTCATTTTTGTCTTCTGTTTGGTGCTTAGGCTCACTTACATCGCCAGACGTGCTCTGAGGTTAAAAACTTGGCTGAGCGCTCTGCACCCTGGCCCTGAGCTCCCTGGAGCTCCAGGGAGGGGCCCTCAACAAATTGCAGCGCCCCATCAGTTAGGGACTTGGAGTGTGCTCGTCAAAGAGCCGGTGTTTCTCTCACCCGAACCCTCGAGGTACAGCTCTTCAGTTGGTTCACAGAGAAGGAAAGGATTTCCCGCACCGTGGGAAGAACTTAACCTGCTCTGTTCCTCTTGTTGTCTTGTAGCCATTTTGTACATAGCATGGGCCAAACATGGAGAACGCAAACAGCAGTGTCTCCTAGGATGTTCAGATAACATCTAGGCTTTTCTGTGCTGTGGAGAGAAAAAAAAATTTAAATATTCTGGCAGATAATCTCGAGGAAATTTTCATATTTAGCTAAAACTCCAAGGTAGTGCTTTCAGGATTAGTAATGTTTTGCAAGCTAGGATTAATTCTAGAAACAGCTAGTGGAGTTTACCTGGGGAGACTTTTAACCTGGATGTCATCTTCAAAGTGGTGGGTTGGAGCAAGGTGACCTCATCCCCTCCTCAGTCGCCCAGCCGTAAGTATCAGGGCCCGAGGTAGAGTGATGCATGCTGACGGTTTAGGTGGTTTGCCCTCCACAAAGATCTGTGAGATGCTGGCCTGCTAGGAGCTATTGCTTGGAGGGTCCCATCATGCCTTGCTTCCAAGCAGCAAAACTTTGTGTTTGCAGGCTGGGGAGTTAGCTCAGTGGCACCTGCCTTGAAAGCTCAAAATCCTGAGTTTGATCTCTGGTACCAAAACAAACAAACAAACTCCTTCCTATTTGCACCTGAGAGTCACAGTATTAGAATGGTGGTGTCTCTGTGAAGTTAATTCTTTCTGTGATTCTAGTGGCAAACTGAATTTGACAAGAATCGAAGTCAAATTCAGTGATTAGGTTCAATGTCGACCTCTCAAAATTTGTTTTATTTTGTTTTGTTTTTAATACTAGGGCTGAACCCTGGGCCTTTGCACTGAGCTACATCCCTAGCCCATTTTTAATTTTGAGACGGGATCTAAGTCACTAAATCGAGCCCAGGCAGAGCTCAATTTATGATCCTCCTGCCTCATCCTCCCGGAGTGGTGGGATTACAGCATGTGCTGCCCTGCCCGTCTTGATATGAAATTTTTATTTCCAGGGGGAAACCTTTACCAGTAGCCCCTGTTATGACTTGTGGCTAGACGTCCCCCCAAAGCCTCATATGGTCACCGGTGAGGAGTTCCCACATTGCTGGGTTGGGGTGTGTGATTGTGGATTAAAGGTGTGGATAGTAGAAGTCCCACCCTGGGCGGACTGCGCACTGATCAATGATGGGCTTATCACCTGGACACAATACAAAGGGAAAGGCAGGCAGGCTGCTGTTGTTGCTTGCTGCTGCTACTTGCTGTCATGGACTGTTTCTCCCCTGCGATGCTCTGCCAGGCCACCCTGCCTTGGAGCCAGCTGACTATGAACTGAAACCTCTACAAACTGTGAGTCACATTCTGGCACCCCTGTCAGTCACCTGCCAAGGGACAGGAATTACAGGTGGCTTAGACACTGTCCAGATTCACTGCAGGGGTGGAGTTGGGCTGGGCCATTAGCCTGAGCCCAGGGAGGGTCCTGCGCGCACAGGGAGTGGGCAGCTGCTTGGGAGGGTGGCAGCTGCCTCAGCCTTGAGCTTGGAGTGTTACTGAGTGATAAGCAAGCCATTTCTTATAAAGCTTAGTGTCACCAAGATTGACTTGAAGTGATTTTTGTAAAATGTTTGATGAATAACCTTTCTGGAAATGGTTAGTGCTTTGTATGCTGGTAGTTCCATGCTGTTTTGTTGTTTTTTTATTTCGGGAATTGAACTCAGGTCCTTGAGCTTGTGAGGCAGGCGGCAGTCCCACTGAGCTAAATCCCTGGCCCTAAAAGGCTGGTAGTTTTGGAGAAGAGCAATTAAATGGAGTAATTACATGTTTGCCAGCCACAGAGCATACAGTAATGTTTGAAGAAGTACCTTGGGTGCATTTTGTTGTTTAGTCATCACATGTGTCCTATAAGACGTGCTTTTTTTTCCCCTCTTTTTAGACATGAAGAAACTGAGGTGTAGTTAATTGAGTCACTTGCTCCAGGTCAGTAGTGAGTAGTGGAGCTGAAGTTAGCTCATATCTGCCTGGTTCTAAGGCATATGCTTACTCTAGTCTGCTTGTCCAATTCTTTTCAACTCTGTGTTGATAATCAATATTGTCTCATTTATTTCAAAGAAAGTCATAATACATAGGTATGTTTTATATTTATATTTGGCTTTAAAATATGTCACAAATACTGAGAAAAGTGCTTTGCCTACATTTGAAAAGCATATGGTAAAAGCAGATACTGTTTCTTACTGATCCTGTGCTAGAGTGTTACAAATGATTTCTTTAATGCCTAAAGGACCAGAGTCAAATTATAGAAGACTTCAGAGACTATGGAAATTGTACTACAGGAGGTACTGGAGTGACTTCTGAGGAATTAGTTCAGGGGGATTAAAATGCAGTGAATGCTGCTGCCAGTGCCATCCAGTGGAAAGGGAGGCTCATAAAAACATGACAGTGCGTCCTCATCCATCTTATTTGCTGGTGTTGGTACCATGTGAGTCTGACTCTTTCTCAGAGTCCAAATGACCATGAAAGGTAAATTAAATCAGGATATAGAGGCAGCGCTGATGATGCAGTGACAGACCCTTGGGCCGGGGATTCAGCTCAGTGGTTCCGCCGCCTGCCTTGCAAGCCCAAGGTCTTGAGTTTGATCCCCGATTGAAAACAAAAAGACCCTCAGGAAAGAGGGTTTCCAAGACTGTTTCAGAAAGTGGAAAAAATGCGGAGATAAGTGGGTGTGAAGTGAGGCAGATTGGGGAATATTTTTGAGGGGGATTGATGTCACTGTCTTTAACTGTAATAATTATTTTAATTTAAACACACTGCACTTTTTTTTTTTTTAAATTGCACTTCAGGGCCGGGGATTTAGCTCAGTGGTTCCATGGCCTGACTTACAAGTGCAAGGACCCAAGTTTGATCCCCATACCAAACAAAAAAGAAAGAAAAAAATTGCACTTCATATATACTTAGAGGCATATTCTTTGCTATTCTGGACCTTTCCCCCATGTCTTAGGTACTTTTCTCATTGCTGGGACAAAAAGTTATAGGAGGAAGGGTTTCCTTTAGCTCACAGTTTATAAGGAGTTCAGTCAGATGGCTGCTGGGCGGGGCAGAGGAGAAACAGTCCATGGCATTGCAGGTAGAGGCAACATGACTTTCTTCTTTCTCTGCTTCTTCCATCCAGACTACAAGCCTATTGCTTGGTGCCACCCAAACCCAGGTCAGTTTTTCCCCTTCAGCGCGTCCATCATCCACACTCAGAATTATGTGGCTCAATCAGCGGACTACTCCAGCATCACATACCCATGATCTAGTCACTTCCAAAGGCCCCACCGATGAGTGCATGAGGTTTTGCAGGGACATCTAAATACAAGCCTCAACAACCCACCTCCAGCAGTATGATTGTTTTTGTGGTACCAAGGGGCTTTGCACTGAGCTGCATTCCCAGTCTTCTTTTTAGTTTCTATTTTGAGATGGTCACGCTAAGCTGCCCAAACTGGCTTTGAAATTGCAATCCTCCTGCCTCGGCCACCTAAGTGCTGGTATCAGGTGTGCATCCCTGCACCTGGCAGTTTTTATGTGGTAGTAAAGGAGGTGTTACAGGTAGAACTCCGAGTTAATCGGTCACTACTGACAACTAAAAGACATGCCATGCAGTTTGTTTCTTGTGATAGTTTCAGTCATTAAGGCCTACCTGTATAGTACATAGTTGGGTGAAAATACAGCCAAAAAGAATTTTCACTTAATTTCTGTAATTTTTTGGGGGATTTAAAAAAAAAAAAGGATGAGGAATGTGAATGCAAGGATGTACAATTAAAACAGCCAAGTTAGTGTGGGTTTTGTCGCCATTGCTCCCTTCTTTCTTTGTCTTTACAAATCGCATGTGGTGGCAATGGCAGGTTCGTTTCTGAGCTGGCCCTGTTTCCTCTGGTCCCCCTGCAGTCCTGAGCAGCCAGTGGCTGTCCAAGTCGCCGTCCTGTGGCATGTTCCACAGAGACCAGGTCACCTGCAGCACCAGGCTTCGGTGAGCTCCTCCAATCTGTGATTGGCCCACATCATCCGGTTCCCGCGGACCCATTCTCTCAGCCAATCCTTCATCCGGCCCTTAGCTCTTGCCAGTTCACAAAGTCCCTAACGTGAGACCTTATTACTTTCTAAGGGGAAAGGAATGGGAATCACATGAAACAGTGGCAAACAACTGGAAGAAAACCACATCCCTTGTTTCCCTGGTCACTTTCAGCAGCCTGCTGCGTTCTCTTGCCATGGAAGACAGTCTTGTCTCCCCCAAGTGGACTCACTGGTATAGTAATGCTGGCTGGCTGGTGCACATGCGTTCTGTATTGTTTTTCTTCTTTGCTTTGTTCATTTTCCCTTTGCACGGTGTTTCCGTTCTCTATTGCTGTGTAAAATCACCCTAAAACAAAGTGGCTTGAATCCACCATTTCTGTCTTTGGCTGCCCATCTGCAGAGTGGCCAGCGGGCCTTTCATCTGGCTCACTGGGTGCATCTGCCCTTGCTCAGAAGGTTGAGTGGGTGCTGCACAGTCGGCGGTGCTCTTCCCCAGAGCTGACGGCTGGGCCCAGTATTTCTCATTGGCCAGCGCTGTGGCGTGGCTTCTTCACAGGTGGTGGTGGCCATGTGGGTCCCAAGATCAACAAGAGATGACTGGACCGATCTGCAAAGCCTACTGAGGTCACCGTTGCAGTGTCATTCTGTCTCCTTCTGTTGGTCAGAGTAGGTCCCAAGACTGGCCCAGAGTCAAAGAGCAGAGAAATCCATTCTTCCCCTGGACAGAAAGATGATTCATGGCATTATATTGCAAAGGCTGCCTTTGCAGTCAGAAAAGCATTGTCAGTCCTTGAGGGTCTTGAGAGATTGTGGTGTGGGACTTTATTAATAATCTAGGAGGCTATATATCTTAATCTTCAGAAGTCTATCCTGTTAACTTCTTTGTTTGCTTTTTTATTGCCATTTCCTTTTGTTACCTTGAGGCTTTCTGGGATGAATCAGGAGGGTCTCTGTATGATTCAGGATGAACGATGCGAGCTGCTGATTTTACCCACAGTGGACCTTGGGGAGAATATCTGCACACGGAACACCATGCCTGGAGTTTGACATTTTGGTTTCCTTGCTCAGTTACTTCATTTTAAAGTGTATTTGTGTATATGTTGATAGTAATATTAATGCGTATTAAATGCTAACTAGTTATATATGATTGTCCTCTTATTTACATCTCAGAGCAATGAAAGGTCTAGGTACTGTTATTAATGCCATTTTAGAGATGAAGAAGCTGATGTTTAAAGGTTCAAGATATACTTGAGGCCACGTGGCAGGTGCTGTGCTGTCCCAGTGAAGAATTTCAACGTGTGCGTGGGCGCTGCTCTGCCCCAGCTCAGATGCGCCTGGTTATTCTGTAACTCCGCTGGGGCTGTCCCTCCTCGGGAAGTCGGGGTGCCTGCATGCCATGGGCTCGCAGCTCACACACTGAAGGATGTGGGGTGCATGCGTTGCTTTTGGCTGCTGAGTTTATGACTTGAAAGTTGAGAGCTTAAGTACGTCATTGGATTTTTCAGCAACAGATCCCTGGGTTGGAAGAGAGGTTGTCAACTTTGGTGTATATTAAATTTCTTTTTTAAAACCAAGGTTGTTCTATTGTTATTTTTGTTTAGTTGGAAGGGACTGAACCTGCCTGACGTTTGAGCCCATGGCCTCTGCCCAGGCCTCTTTGCCCGAGTCAGGTCCTGGCTCTGCCCAGCAGCGCAGGTGTCCCTGGAGTCAGGGGTTGGCCCTGACAGCTCTCTGGGACATTAGCTTCTTCTTTACTGCCAGGAGGATGCTTGGGGTGTAGCTCAGTGACAGAGCTCCACGCCCTAGGGCTCAATTTCCCGACACCAAACAGAACAGGAAAAAAAATTCAAAAAGAAACCAAATTGATTCCATCTTTACTCAGTGTGCTAGGTTTTATGTGGATTATTCATGGTCTTCAGTGGGTTCCACATCGATAGAAATATTCATCTTGGTCTCAGAGAGCTCTGATTCAGTGCAAAGATCGAAGAGTTCTGCAGTAGATATTTAAAAATGGGACATTTCTAAGAAGGAAGAGTATATTCGTACAGACGTTTTCTTTCTTTTTTTTTTAATTATTAATTTTATCGGTACATCTTAGATAAACAATATAATGGCTTTCGTCACTGGGAATTTGCGCCTTTCTATCTTGGTTCTTATTTGTTTCCCATTCCCCTGCCCACCCTTCAACCACTAGAAATTTTCAGTAGTATAGAGAATGATGTAGCAGATCCAGCTTTAACAATTTCCAGGGTATGGCTGACTGTGTTTTAAAGCCCACCCTGGAAGTACTGTTCAGCAGCGGGGAGTCTGCTTTGGAACCATGGTGTTGCTATTTTAAGGATTGCTTCCACTCCTGTTCCTGCAGGCACCGTCAGCTTTTCCAAACCTCTAATTCTGCGTCTCCTCTCCAGGGCCCAGTCATCTATGCGCAATTAGACCACTCCGGCGGTCATCACAGTGACAAGATCAACAAGTCAGAGTCCGTGGTATACGCAGACATCCGGAAAAATTAAAGAGAAGCCCCAGAACATATCCTCAGCGAGAAGCAAACCCAAACCCAAACTGGACTCTGGTGCAGATGATGCAGCCCGTAACCATGCATGGTCTTGGGGAGCTAGGAAAGACAAGCACATGTGTACTCGGAGAGGGACAGAGTCACGTATAAATGTTCTAGTCAATCTTCCTGACGTGAGGAGCCGGTGTTGTGATTCCGCCTATGTATAAATTGTCTTGCTGTTTTTGTACATTCTTTCAGGGTCATGTATAGTTGGGAAATTTCAGAAACCTTCCTGTCACCATCATTTGCTTTAAAGGAGACAGTAGCAGCCTCTTGGTAGTCCCAGCAGACATGGCCTTTCCATCAAGGGCTCAAGCGGTCTTAGCAGTTGTTACAGTCAGAGGATGGAGATACCGTGATGTGAGCATAGGATAGCCTGTATTTACCACAGTGACAGGCACATTAGGTCGTAACGTCCATTAGCTGTGCCACTTGAACTCAGCCTGAGAAGTTTTTAAAGCTTTATAGGTTGTGTGGACTCACTTTAACGTCACACCATTGAACTACAGTATATAGATCTGTGGGTTCATTTGGGGTCGGGGATTTAGCTCAGTGGTGCCACCACCTGCCTCACAAGCACAAGGACCCAAGTTCGATCCCCGATACCAAAAAAGAAAAAAAGGTGCTAGATTTGAGGGTTCATCATACCAAAGTTAGCAAAAGGTGAAGGCTGGGGGTCACTTCCCTCTAGGTGTGTTAGTTAGCTCAGTGCCGTAGAGGTGATTAAAGTAAAAAGCCCAGCCTTTGCTTGAGCATGGCAGCATTGGAGGGAAAGCTATCTCTTGTTACCTTCCTCGATGAAGTCCTTCCTGCTTGAAGTTGGCCCGTATGGAGGAAGACGAAGGCAGGCTTTTCCTTCCTTCCTGGCAGTCAGAAGTGGGGTGGCCAGGTCGCCACTGGAGCACTTGCTCAAGAATCGCCTTCTTTCAGTCCAACTCAGAGGCTGCTTCTGGACACCGGGCCACCTCTTATCATAGCTTCCTGATACCTCAGACCTGTGAGGTTGAAGGACGTCAGGATTTAAACAAAAATCAAGTAGGGCTAGAACTGGTGCTTTGAAACTCTCTTCTCTGTTTGTTTTGGGTTGGTTTGGGTTTTTTCTTTCCCCCCAATGACTTGGAATTGATAAACAATACGACGAGGAAAAGAATAGACCATGAATTTTCTTTCCAAAACTCATTTCTCCCACTGACCCTCCTGTGCCCCACCTTGAATCTGGGAATGACAGGCGTGGTGAAGTTCATTAAACTTATTTATGTTGTCATTCTCCCATTTTTCTTGATGGTTTTATTTTAAAAGAAACTTCCCATTAAAACTGTCTGGAAACTGCGGGTGTGGAGGCAGGACGGGTAGATAGGTGGCTGCAGAGCGAGCTGGGGAGAGTGGCGGGGGGCGGGGGGCCCTTCCAGGCTGAGTCCCCGGAAGCTGCTTCTTTTTTCCTTCCTGTCTTCTGCGTCTCTGGGGAGTGCTTGAAGGCTGAAGACTGAGGGGGTGCAGCCCGATTTAGGTTTGATGGTGTGCATGAGGTGAAAAAAACAGGAAAAGGGCCTCAAAGGTGAGCTTGAGACCTCACCTGTCCATTCCGTATGTGTGAGTGGGATCGGTTTTGTCACCACATGCGTGGGCTGAAGCTGGGCGTGGCCTGGTTGGCGCCCTGTGTCCCTGCTTCTCCAGCTCAAGGGGGCGCAGGATTCACACAGAGCGCTTTCCCTGGGCCACCTCCCAAAGCGGTCCCCTCTGCCTTGTACCCCACTGGCAAAGACAGGAGCCTTTAGAAGGCCTCTTTCATGTATTTTGAGGGGTTTTGGGATTGTCTGCTCCTCAAACCGACGCCGAGATGCCAGTTCCCTTACTGGGCCTCCACCACATGGCCTCTTCACGTGGAAAGGGTACAAGTCGCCCAGAGCCCAGGGTGCGTGCCCGTGTGTGGAACTTCCTGCACCTCCTCACAGCGGCAGCCCTCATTTCTCCTTTAGGTGTCAAGGCTGTCTCTGTGTGGAACCGACACCCGCGCCTTTCCTCCATGTCCTTGATCCGCCTCCTTCCTGGCCTCTCCGACCCCCAGGGAGCACAGTCAGCTGCCACCCCTGCAGAGCATCTCAAGAGCGGCCCAGCCCGGGCCTCCCCTGACTCTGGCCAAGGTTCCGGCCCTTTGCCGTGCCTCAGTGTCCCCACGCCTGGCTGCCAGCCACAGTGGGGGTCACATCCCGGTGGCAGGCCTGCCCTTGCCATGCCTTAGGCCTCGGTAGAACAAGACCTCTTCAAATTGTATATGAATTTTGTTTGTTTGTTTTTTGGTAGCAGGGATCGAACTCGGGACCTTGCGCTTGCGAGGCAGGCCACAGAACCACTGAGCTAAATCCCCGGCCCTATCAATGAATTTTGTAGAGGTCCCTAAAAGGGATAACTTGGAGGTGAAAGTGCCTGTCCAGGCTCTCCATGGACATGTGTCCTGCTGAAGGAAAGCTATCAAGTTCATAATTCTTTTTTGATTGTACTTCTATGAGTATTTTAATACATCTTTTTCAATTTTTAAATGGTGTCATATGTTCTTTTTTATGACATAAATGCGATAAAAGCCTTTCTCATTCGTGCCACACTGGCCTCTTTATTCTTTTTTATTTTTTGGTACTGGGGATTGAACTCAGGTCCTTGTGCTTGCGAGGCAGGCGGCAGAACCATGGCCTCTTTCCTCTCGAATCGCACCACCCGTGTGCCAGCTTCAGGATCTCTGCAGCATCGCTCGACCTGAAACCCACCTTCTGCGGATATCTGTGTGGTCTGTTCTCTCACTTCCTTCGTCTCTGTCCAGACGTCACCTTCTCACAGAGGGACCTTCAGCGACACATTAAGGGCAGCCTTACCCCCAGCCCGGCTCTGCTGAACTTCTTGGTTCTGTTCTGTATTCTCCCTCTAACCAAATATATATTTGCTTATCTGTTCTCCCAATTAAAACATGAGAACAAGACGCCAGAACCTTGCTGTTTTGTTCACTGTTCCGCCTGTGGTGTGCAGAACAGTAGTGGGTACTTTGCAGCTGCTTAGTATTCATTGACTGGCGGGATAGAGGAATAGATGGATGGACGGGTGGGTGGGTAAATGGATGAATGGGTGGCTGGGTGGGTGAGTGCATTTATCCATTCAATGTCCTATTTTGAGAACTACCCTGTGCTGGCCACTGTGCTGAGCATAAGAAAACAAAGTTAAATTTCAAGGAGCTGGCTGTGGAACAGGGTAGCTGAAGGTGACATAATCGTAAAGTACTCACTAAGTTCTTGCCTGCCAGGGACTCTGCACTCCTTCCTCTGTTAGCACTACCAGCCAGCAGCGCTAGCTGTGCCCATCTTGCAGCCATTTTCAGGAGGTCAATGTGTGGCTGCGGTTCTGTACTGGCGGGCAGAGCATGACTCAGGCACAGAAAAGCGGGGCTTCTGAGCTGCTTCCTCATTCTGGCGGGTGGGCTGTGGGCCTGCTGGCTTCAGAGAAACTTTGTGGAAGTTGTCCGGTGATCTGTGAGTTTTATAAGCTGCTGTGTTCACCCCGAGCCAGTGGCTACTGTAACTATGGTCTCTGGGCAGGGACAGAAGAGTTGGAGTTGGCAGGAGCACCTCTGGGCGTGACTCGCCATGAACAGCGGCCCTCTGGGGTGACGGAGGAGCACAATGCTCTTCCCCGGCACATGAGGGCAGCAGTAAGTGGGTCCTGGGCATTTCACAGCTCTGCGTTCCTCCCCAGCTCCTCAGGGACCACGCTTGTCCCTTGTGCAAGAGCTGACGGCCCCTGCATGAGCCGGGCAGGGCAGTGATCAGGAGGAAGCCCCAGGTGGTCCTCCGGCCCCTGATGCCGCCCACCTTCGGGCTGCTGCCTTCCTCCGTCCGTCCCACTGCTCTGGCAGGGTGAGGAGGGGAATGTGCAGAGCTGCTGCTGCGTGTGGCTCTGGTGGAGGGGGTGGGAAGTGACCACGTGCTGTTCCTCTGGACGCCCTCCTGCACTCTGTGTCTAAGACTCCAGTAGGAGAACTTCAGACCTAAGGGAGTGGGTAAATCAACCTCCATGTACTCAACTTTCAGTAATTACTTCATCCAGCCCTTCTCTTTTTCTTGAGTTATTTAAAAACAAACCTCAAAACAATGTCACTTCCTCCCTGCGCTCTCTCATGTCCATCTTCAAAAAATATGGACACTGTCTGACGTAACTGTGTGTCACATTTAACGAAAACATTTCTGAAACCACATTTGTGGCTGGGCTTCCTGGCAGGAGGGTCGCTGCTCATTCAAGGCCTGCCTGGGCCACATAGTGCGTTCAAGGCTAGACTGAACTCCATGGCAAGACCTCGTCTCAATAAACAGACCCCCCACCCAAACCAAATCAAATCCTTGGCTTTATCTGCTAGTTTTTAGTCACATTTCCTTTATTTTGAAAATAACGGGCCAGGGATTTGGCTTAGTGGTTCCGCTACCTGCCCTGTAAGAACAAGGACCAGAGTTCAATCCTCGGTACCAAAAAAAAAACCCAGCATCTTACAGATGGTTTCTTCAAATCAGTGTCTAAACATGGCCCCAGCAAACTTCTTTTGTGTGTGTTTTAAATGCAAAAAGGGAGGGCTGGGATTTGGCTCAGTGGTTCCACTGCCTGACTTACAAGCGCAAGGTCTGGAGTTTGATCCCCAGTACAAAAAAAAAAAGCAAAAGGGGATCATGGTGCCCGGTGCCAGGGAAGAGTCCACATCCTTGTGCGAAGAACTGAGCCATGGGCCAGGGATGTAGCTCAGTGGCGCTGCACCTGCCTGGCAAACCAGGTCCTGAGTTCGATCCCTGGTACCGCAAAAAAAAAAAAAGAATCGAGCCA